TTGTTAAAAATTAGATAAAATCTGCCCTTAAATACTCAAGAAATTGTCAAAAGTGACAATAAGTTTAAAAAAATGACTCAAAATTGGTCCAACATGATTTTAAAAAGGTTTAAAATCACTCAGAATGTGTAGAAACGACTAAAGCTCGTCTTAAATGTGTTGATGTTGCTCCAAACTTTTCTGAAATGATTCAAAATTTATGCAAAATGAGTTGAAATTGTCTGAAATGAGGAAAAGCTGGACGACTGAACCAGACGGAAACGATTTTTCAACCTGAGCAGCAGGAAGGTGTCGTTTTACGCAAACACAACTGGAACTCCACCTGGTGGAACAAGCAGGTACTGCAGCTCATCGATGACATGCATCCTCTCATCTTCTGGTGAATATCATCCTAATCGATTGAATTATTACCAGAAATGAATCATTCAAATCCCCGACAGGCGTCATGTAAACGGGCCGACGTACATAATTCCCGTCCGGACCAGGTGTTCTGAGCAGGTAGCAGCGTTTCTCTGTTCAGGGTCAAACGACAGGAAAGCGTAGAAAACAAAGAGCCTCGCACGAGGACTTAAAACCTGAAGCAACCAGCTCCGTCTAACCGGTTCTCTCATCTCTATGGATTCAGTGGTTCTGAGCAGTTCTGCTGCTCTCATCCCAGGAGCTAAATTAAAACCACGCGGTTCAGAAGCAGCAGCAGCAGGACTCACAGCGTTTTAACGTAAGAACAGGCTAAAGGCACGACTGAAGAACCGAGCCTGTAGCGGGCCGACTCACCTCCCCACCCTGACTCATTAAACATTCAGCTGGTGTTGGATCTCGGCACAGTAACGGCATGGTAACGGCACGGTAACGGCACGGTAACGACACGGTAACGGCACGGTAACGGCATGGTAACGGCCCGATAACGGCGCAGTAACGGCATGGGAACGGCACGGTAACGGCACGGCAACGACACAGTAACGGCACAGTAACGGCACGGCAACGACACAGTAACGGCACAGTAACGGCACGGTAGCAGCACCCTGGCTGCAGCTGAGGAGCTTCTCCAGAGCGATGAGAGCTCCACCAACTCCCTGCAGGCTGCTGCTGCTCACATATCAGGAGTTTAGCGCTGCATCCTCCACTCGGCTCAGCCCAAACCAAGACTTTCTGGTTCTGGATGCAGCTGACGGGAGGCTGAATGTGTCGCTGCTCACGTTTCCTCATCAGCAGACAAACTTTAGGAAACAACAGACTTCTAAAGCCTCGCTAAGCGTTTCTTTGTTCTGACGGCGTTGTCTTGACGCTGCCATAATGACGGAGGCCCAGAGGACCAGACGATCCCGGAGACAAAAGTCGGCCGCGGTTTGCCCCGATAATCACCGAGCTGCGACGCCACGAGGCCTCAGATCGCCGGCCGCCGGAGGGACGCTGCTTCATGGGTCAGACCAGAACCAGAGAGGAGGAAAGAGTCTGCAGGACGACTTCTAACCACTGGATGGACAGGACGAGTTAAAAGTGTTCACAATGACGCAGAATTCATTTAAAACAAGAAAAAATGTGTTTAAAATGACTTGAAATGCTTCAAAACAAATGAAATGTGTTCATAATTCGTCAAAAATGGACTAAAAGGTGTTTAAAATGAATTAAAATGGTTGATAAGGAGCTGAAACCTGCACCCAGACACTCAGAGACCACAAAAACTTCTGATTCTGAGCTTTTTCCAACAACAGCAGTGTCCAATACTTGGAACAGAACGACTTCAAATCTGTCAAAGAATTATAAAAACTTGTTTGAAATTCTTTATAACCATTAAATACTAAAAAAAACAAAGTGATTTGAAATGTGTTCAGAATGATAAAAACATGAGATAAATGAGTCCAAGTTATTCTGAACGACTCAAAACGAGTTTAAAACCAGTTCGACGTGTCGATAACGAGTTAAAACAAAGATCATCGCTCACTGGAAGGACTGAAGCTCACAGAAGATGAACTCAGACCTGAATATGAACTGGATGTCATTTGGTTTTTTCTACACATGTGCAGTAACGTTGTAATAACTCCTAACAAACATCTTTGAAGAACAAACCGTCCTGCTGCTGTCTGACATTCACGTGTTCCTGCTAGATGGTGGATTTTATTACGGTGCTTTCAAAAACGTCTGAATTTTAAAACACCACATTCCTTCCTCTCTTCCTCTCAGAGCAGTCCAACCAGCTGCCGGTTCTGGACCGACGGTACCGTCCGGCCCGGCTGCAGCTGCTGGAGCGCCTCCTGCCTCCTCCTGCTCGGTCCTGGTAGTCGGAGCTCATGACTGCCATCAGGCCTCGGGCGGCTCCATCAGACTCTACTAGTTTGTCACATTCAGGAGCTTCTCTATCTGGAGCCTCGTGAAGTTCTGTGGACCGGGATGGAGCTGCTGCTGCTGCCTGCACCACATGGAACAGCACCAGACTCTGGAACAGCACCAACACGTTTAGTTGGAGGTGACGAAGGAGGAACTCAGGACCCGACTGAGGAGCTGTTTGTGTAAATTAAAGCACCGACATGCAGCCGACGCAGCGGCTACAGACCAACGCTAATGGGAACGTATTCACACTGTGTTTAAAGTCCAAACCCAGCAGAGGCTTTCAGGAGGCGTATTTCAGCCAGAAACGGCAAAAACATAAAGAACCATCAGATTAATGAAGTTTCTTGAAGTTTTATCCAAACCGAAGCTGGAAGGTCTGTAAGCCTGGAGGACGTTTGCAGCGTTTCCTGCTGCTGCTGAAACATCTGCCTCCTCAGCCTCTCCTGCAGACTCCTGTCGGGGGAAAAGTCTTACCTTCACACTTCTCCAGGATCTGAACCGTCTCCCCGACCTCCAGAGCCAAGCCCTGCGTCACCGAGCCTCGGAAGCTGCAGATCACTGCGAGGGAAAAGACAGAGAGGTGACGGTTAGTGGGACAGAGAGAGGAAGGTTTTCACTGATTAATCGAGCAGCACGTTCGTTAACTGATCCACAGATTCAGCAGCACAGAGCAGATCCACACCAACAGCATCCCACTAAACATCACGACTCGTTCTGGATGATCAGATGAAGTTCTGGCCGAGCCGTAAACCAGGAAACACCTTCGTTCTCATCTTTCCTCTGCTTGCTAAGTCTGGTGATCTGTGACGCAAACATTTAAACCTCACAAACAGCCGCCGGACTGTAATCAGAGGGCAGATGATGCAGTTTTTACATGAGTTAACATTAAAATCCATCAAACCTGGCAAAGCACTGACTAAACCAACCAGAGAGCAGGATGCTAACTACCAGCAGCCCAACCAGACGCTGTTCTACTGACTGTTACACAACAACAACACAAACACCTCCGAAGACGGCTGCGACAGAAACAAAAGGCCAAACACTCCAGATAAACAGACCGAGAAAGTAAAACAGGTCGCAAGCGCATAAATAGAGCCGTGCAAGGGAGGGAAGACGAGGCCGAGTGTTTGGGAGGTCAGAGTGCTGCGCTGGCCTGAGGGAAGAAGCCTTTCGTGAGCTTCTGAGCGCTGACCTCGTGTTCGCAGCACAGTTAGCCGGAGCGCAGAGGCAGGATGCAAGGCGGCAGTTTAAGGTCGACTCAGAGCTGAGATGGAGAAAAAAATAAAGTTTGGGAAAAGATTCTCACACTCGAATGCTTCTGAGGCGCCCTGAGAACGCGTCTTTCATCTCTTCTGGAGTCTGTGATGTTACTCAGACTGGAGAGCGTTGGCTAGCAACGGGCGCCACGGCAACGACTGATGTGGAGGTTAATGATCTCCAACCAGAGTTGATGTGGTTTAAAAAAACTGGGATTAGCTGTTGATCAGATAATACGTCTGTTGACTAGTATTGTAAGAAATAATCAGTTAATTCATGAAAATGTGATGCCTCTTGAAGAGATTTAAAAAAAAAAGAAAAAAAAAAAAGACAAAAACAGATCGATTTAATGCAGTAACATGCAGCAGGAAAACCACGTTTTGTTTTCACGGTTTCTGGCAAGACGGTAAAACATCCACAACATGTGGAGACAGGATGACCACAACGAGACAAAGAGTCACGAAAAGACGCTAACGGCAGAAAATAGACCGAAAAGCAGGAGAAACGAGACACGAGGAGACAGAAAAGAGTCAAAAAACGACACAAATGAGACACAAATAAAAGAATACATGTGGATGTTTTTTTATTGACTTCAGTCTCAGAGACTTTTTGTTTGTCAAATGTTCAGAAATAACCTCGACGTCGGTCAAACACAGACTGATGCTGCTCGTCGTGGCCTCCAGCCTCATTCTGATCCAGGACGACGAACGTAAACCGATCAGCAGGAGGTCGGAGATGAAGCTGCAGCCTGGAGGAGAACCGGTGCGTTTCCCTCTCCGGCCTTCATCGAGGCCGAAGCGTGAGGCGAGCTCGGGCCGCGGTCCGCCTGAATGCAGAACAAGAGCAGCTCTGAACTCGTCTGAGTCCGTCTTTGTCCATCAACTGTTTTCATAAAGTCTCTTTGTGCTCCAGGACTCGACTCCAATCAGCCCCGAGACAGAGATGACTTCATGTCCGAGTCGCCGCCTCGTCGACCCGTCTGCCTCCGTCTATATTTAACACTCGCCTGTTGTTGCAACTGTCGCACTAATAGTTTGTAAATCCAGATAAATCCTGGAGTTATTAGCGTCTGCTGTCTGGGACATTCAGAACGTTGATATTTTTACAGTCAGACGAGTCACGCACCAGTGATGTGTTTCATTTCGAGAGGCGATTATTGGTTTGTCAGCGGCGAACAGGGATGGAGGTGAAGATGGAGTCGACTCCAGCAGCTAGCAGAGAGGTGGAGGGAAAAAAACCAATAAAGAAAACGATGGGGCATCAAAGAAACACTTCTGATGCTGTTGATTAAAATGTGGACAGTGTTGGTTTGGTCGAGCAGCTGTGTACGACAGACAGTTCAGTATTTGCCCGAATGGTTCAATAAATAACGGAGTCATTGTAGGGAGGAGGTCGGGGTGGATGGATCGGTCCACAAAACATTCTCAGTCTCACAAAAACCAGTGTGTTTGTAATTACAGGTTAATACCGTAGACCAGCTGTAGTACCTGGTTTTTCCACCAGGTGGAGCCTCTCACTGTTTAGAGACCAGAGGAGGCGTCACTCAGACTACAGCTCATGGTGGCAGCAGAGAGCATTGTGGGAGTTTAGCAGCAACGGGACCATGACAGAGACTCTGAGGAGGTTCATGAGCTCCATAAATAAATGTTGTTTTTGAGGTAAACCGGGATCGGCGACGTGTTTGCTGCTCAGACAACGTGTCCGTAGACTGAAACATCGACACACGACAAACGGCCACTCGTGTGATATAAACGGATCCGTTACTGATCGATGAAGCCGGATTTGTTCAGAGAATCATTCAACATTTTCATCCCAGCATTTCTGTGTGTCATGGACCCGAGTGGACTCGGACTGGAGCAGATGGTGCAGAGTGAACGGACCCAGGTCAGGTTAGGATGAACTTTCTTTATGTATGCTACGATGCTAGCGCAGGCTAACAGCTGTGGTCGGAATACTTATTGTGTACAGACCTTTAGTTTTGGTCAGAGACGGCGGTGCTTCGGCGACATTCGGTGGTTCTGAATGTTGAAGGCAGCACCTTTAAAGGAGCGCTAGCAGACTGACCAGGTTCTGTTTCAGACTGACCAGGTTCTGTTTCAGACTGAACGTGTGGCTTGTATGTGATTGATGCACCTCATTCAGTCGATTACATTAAAAACACTACAGTGAGGGTTGACACATTCAAAGCAGCCAATCAGGACGCATCCTGCTAAAAGCTCCGCGTTCTGTCGAGCATCACCTGAAGTGTGAGTCCTGCTCTGCGTTATGACTCCTGGAGGTTCTGGTTCCTGATCCTCTGGCAGCCAGAACCCACCTGACAGCTGGAGGCGACAGTTTGTGTCTGTCTGCCTTCGTCTCACTGTCACCATCTGTCATCGTATCATCGTCGCCGTCTGTCATCTGTCTCCACTGTTATTATCAGCACTGGATTCTGTCATCGACACACAACCCGTCCGACCCCGAGAGTCTCGTTTCGTTTCTTCATCGTCGTCCGTCGGAGAAGCTGCCGTGCTCTTGCCGTGGCTTCTCTCGTTCCCTGAACTCAGCTCACATGTGAACATGTGATAAAATCAATTAAAGCCGCCTTCATGGAAGAAAACGACCCAGAAGTCTTCGGTTCTGTAGTTTTCTCCTCCAGGATGACGTTTTCTGACACTTTAATCATCTGAACGTGCTGCTGCCTCAGAGAGCAGCGCTACCTGAACTCAAGCTGAATAAATAAAGTCATCAAGAGATTTAAAAGGTAACTGAGGCAGACGTCACAAGTTTAAGGTGATAAATGAAGCTACGCTCATCATCAGAGCCAGAACGGTGACATCTTCATGCTTCCAGGAGTTTGTTAACCCTGACTGTAAACGTCTTGTTGTCAATAAAGTCAGCAGACGTCCCTCCTGACTGACCTCCAGTGACCTCTGCTGCAGTGATGTGACATTCATGTCCAAAATCTCACATATAGAAGCTTTAAAAACTCAATTTGAGGAGATTTTAACATTAAATTCATTCAGGTTCGAACTCGTCGTGTTTACCGGAGGCCTGTCGATAAAGTTCTGAGTTGAATGATGTAGTTAAAAACAAAAAGTGACTTCAGCGAGATGTTGTACAGCGAAGAGGCTCGCTGAGGTTAAAGTCTATTTATAAAGAGCACGACGTCTACCAGACCGATCCGGTCCAATCAGAGACGACGTCGGTGAGTCCAGGTTCATCCTCGTCCTGCTCTGACCTCTGCAGCACCAACCACCACCTTCACCGACACTCTGCTCGTCTCTCCAGTGGAGCTTCTTTTAGTCTCGACCTTGTGATGGTTTCATCTGGTCTGAACCTGGAGCTCGCCTCCTTCCTCCTCCTCCTCCTCCTCCTCCTCCTCCTCCCACCTGTTCTCTCAAAGCACAGTTCAGAGTTTCATCGTGATCACAGGACACTTTTTCCATCGAGGCTATTTTCAACTCGTGTCACGACTGCAGAGAGTAAAATAACTTGTTGTGTTTAGACGAGGAGACGCGTACGAGTCACGGCGTAGAGTTTCCACCGACACACAGATGAACATGTACGGATGGTTGTCCAGGTCCTGATCAGAGCGGCTGTGATGTCGTCACATGTGAATGTGCTGCTGCTGCTGATAATCGAGCAGATTCCTGACGAGACGTTTAATAAAGCAAACCATCTCATCATCCATCTCATCTCCGGATGCGGCTCGAATGCTTAAAGAGGCCGACGCCATGGCAACAGCGAGTAAAGACGTTAAACTGTATTAGCGAGAAACGGAGGTCTGCAGCCAGGACGCTGTCTACGGTCCTGCAGACATCTGACGGCCTGATGTGATGCATCCCAACGGCCCAGGAGGCAGCGTCGACGGAAACCTTCTCTATTTGTGCTCCATCCTGCAGAAATGTCCGAGTCAGACAGAATATGGATCCCGAACATCCCATAAACCCAGAAAGATCAGGTTTCTATCACATCAGAGTGCATCCTTCAGAGCGATACGTCTGAATGAAACAAGTCAGAAACAGAAGAAATGAGAAAGCGATGCCAGCAGGCCACGAGTTAGAGACGAGCACGATGGGCGTTTTATCAGATTCCCCTGAACGCACCAGATGCTCCACTAACAGCCAATCACACGCCTCCTCCGTCCCCGTGGCCTCCAGGAACATCTCAGAGGTTTGTTAGTGTTTCAGGTGATAAAGTGAAGCTTTAAATTCTAATTAAACCTTTTTTTCCACCTGCTCTGTATTAAAGTATTAAAGGTGATCATCACCGGAACCAAACTGCAGCTTCTCACACAGCTAAGGAGGAACATCATGAGC